TTTATTATTTTTATATTTATATCTCTGATAGCCCGAGATCGAGCTAGAGAAATATAAAAATACATAAAAAAAAACATCTCTATATATACCGATATATATATATTTATTGTTTGAGTGAGAGAGAGAGAGAGAGAGAGAGAGAGAGAGAGAGAGAGAGAGAGAGGAAACCTGGGTGGTGAGAGCTTCAGTGGATTAGAATTAAGGCGAGAAAATGGTGATTGTTGAGGAGAGGTGAAATTGGCGGTTACGAATCGGGAAAGGGGTTTTCTACTGCAGCGATTGTTGTTGCAGTAGGTGAAATGGTGGGAAGAATTGATTGGAGTGGCCATACTCTCGCTTCCTGCTCTTTTGGGCTGAAATTGGGCTTTTTATATCACAAGATTTGGGAACCAAACCAATGCATATATATGTTCCACGTTCCTCCTTCTTTGTTTTTTTCTTTTTTCTTTTTTCTTTTTATATAAGTCGCTGCTCCGCTTATATAAGTCATATATAAGTCGCGTTTTTTGATGAAATAGTTTAGGGTAAATTACAACCACCCCTGATGTATGGATAATTTACGAAAAAAATTCCTTGTTTTGATAATTACATTTACCACTTCACTGTGATTTTTTCTTACACTTGCTACCTTATGGTGTCAAATTCAACATTATCATCTAGATTTCATAGAATGTGTTCTAGTTTGTACTCGTTTTGTGTAAAAATACAGTTTCTGATTTACCACAATATGATATATACAAGCCAAAAAACACATATTATGATCATCTTGTTTCAAAATGTGGAGTTCGAATGGGATAAAACGGGTACAAAAGTTATAATATTCCATATAATCTCGAAGATTCCATTAAATCTGAAACTGCAAGGGTGAACATATAAGAAGATTTATAGTTAAGGGGTAGTTGTAATTACTCAAATAAGAGAGGGATTTTGTAATTTAACCATACCACAGGAGTTGGTTATAATTTACCCAATTTATATTAGTAGCTTTAATTTGAACTAAACTTTAGAATGCCAGGCCTTTTTTTGGTTCATTAAGTACACCGATCATTATGTGTGTTTGGTGACAACATCGATCAACAACCTCTTAACTGATCGTTCCAAAATTGTGTGTCTATTCAAGGCTTTCTCGACCCTACACCCGGTGATTATCACCGGGTGGGTCACCTCGTGCCACGTGTCACCAAATTTTAATTTGAATTAGTTTTGTATTTTAATTAGGATATTTCTAACACCATGTAATTTGTAATTTCTCCCTCTACGGTTTATTCAAACTACATGTTCATCCTTTCTTCACCAAAAATCTGTATTTCCATCTCCATTGATACATCATCTCTGTGATTTGAATAACTGAATAAATATTTTTTTTTATTTTCCTGAGATTGTTGGCATGTATTCCAAAGTGGAGCAAGCATCAATTGTTGGCATGTATTCCACGAGCAAGAGATACAGATCCAAGAAACCAACAAACCGGAATTGCTATAACCAATCTCTGCAAATTATTATTATTGACGAAAAAAGAAAAGGAAAAAAAATTCTGCAATTTGACCCAGAAAAAAAAAATTGATTTAACAATTTTCGGCAATCTATGTTTTTTTGGGGCAAAAGTGTTTTCGGTTCTTGTTGAAGAGAAAAGGAAGCAGATAATCGAAATAGTAAAGCAAGACAAACTGAGAAATCAAGATGTACTGTACTACTTTGACAATGGTGAAAGTAGGATTAACCCTACATGAAACGTCTCCGGGTTTCAGAGGC